CGGTACAGCAGCGCTCCGGCGGCTCGTGGGGCGCAGCCTCTGCACAGCGAGTGGCCGCAAGGCAGGGCCGCTGCTTCCCCCGCGGTCTCCAGGCATCCGGCGCAGCTAGAGTCCTTCGGCCGCAGCGGTGGCGACGGCTGCAGCAACGGCGGCTGCACCACCAACAGCGCAGGGCCAGAGGCCGGGCCCGGAGCCCCAGTCTTCGCTGCCGCCATCTCGTCACAGCGGCCCCGCCGGCCTCGCCGACTCAGAGCTGCAGCTGCCGCCGCGGAAGAGGCCCGAGTACTCGGACCTGCCGCCGCCATCTTGTTTCCCGTTTGAAGGGAGAATCGGTTGCGAGGGAGAAGAGTAGAGGGCGGGGCGGCGCGCGGCGGGCCGCTCTATCTACATATTCATGAAGGGGCGGGGCTCCGGTGAGCTCAGAGAAAGTTGTCCCCGGGCCCGGCCGGCGGGAGGGAACACTTTGTTAATATTTATTAGTTCTTCCTTATGTATCTGGTCTTCCGTCTCGCCCTCCCGAGTCTACAGTTTCCTCTTACTGGACCGAGTGAGGCTGAGAACTAAGGGGATTTATTTAGAAAATTCTGAGCCATATAAATTATTAAGTAATTACACTTATTTATTCTGCAGTACCCAGATAACTGAGACTAAAGTGAATGGGGAGTGTGTGACTTACCCAGAAACCTGCCTTAGTGCTTCATTTGATGTGAGGGCCTCTGCTCCTCTCCTAAGGATCCAGGTGGCTGTTGTGACTGAAACCACTAACTGCCGAAAGTAACAGTCTCTTGGCGGTCCGCGTCTCCTCCCCCCCTGCTCTCTCTCCACATCCCTTCCTGAAACTCCTCTCCCTTGGTCGGCAAAACCTGGCTTTTTGCCAATCCCTTAGCTTCTTTTCAGACTCCTTCCTTGATGCGTCCTCGTGTTTGGGGCTTAAATGTAGGTGTTCCTCTAGGTTCAGGCCTCTTTCCCTTTCTCTTATCACTCTGTGTCCTCCCCTGGTCCCCCTCACACTTTCTTCTTTCTGAAACTCCCCAATCCAGCCCTGCATATTCAACTGCCTGATGAAACATCCTCTTGGATGTCTGCATCCCACATGTACAAAACTAATGTCACTGTCTTCCCCCCTCTTCATTCTATTAAAGGTCCCATCCTCCCAGGTCCTCGAGCTTCAAACCTAGTCATCTTTAACTTCTCCCTCATCTCATACATCCCTTCAGTTACTTAGTCCTGTCAGTTCTCCCACCAAAATGACTGTTTTCCCACCTCTTCCCTCCTCTTCATCCCATTCCCACTGCCCAATTCAGGTCTTATCATCTCTCAGTTTCTATAGAATGTCTCCCTTCCCACAACCTCTCTTCCTCTAATCCATCCTCCACAGCTCTTAGACTTGCTTCCTAAACACCAGCCTGACCATGTCATTCCTGTTTGGGCTATGGTAAGGTGCTCAGATTTTGATACTAGCCCCCCTTCTGGATGCAGAGGGTATGGGAGGAAGAATGGCTTCCCTCTGATGGAGAGATGTTTCTGCTGCAGCAAATCTCCCTCCTCTGCCCTAAGGTAGATTTAGAGCAGGAAAGTATTAAGTAAATGGCACTTCCTGCCGGGAATCTTTATAGGAAAGCACAAGTTTTATAAAGAGAGCAAAATCAAAAAAGCACCACCATGTAATAGAAGGCATCAAAGGCCCTGGGTTTCAATGAGATTGCCCAGAGCTGGTGATAAACCATTCTAAGGTAGAGTGATTGGTCAAAGTCAGAGAGCAGAAAAAAAGAAAGAGGTGGATTCCCAAGATGAGAACCAGATGGCTCAAGGATAGTCAAGACCTGAAGAAGGGTCAATGAGTAACTGAAACAAAATTTGTATGCACAGAGTCCCAGACAGTCAGAATCCTGCCAGACACAGAAGTATGGCCTTGCCTGAACGCTATCTTTTATCCATCCTTGGCTGGGTCCTCTGCATTTCCCTTTCACTTGAGGACATTTTGCCCAGATTCTGACAAGGGAGACCGGTGGTCCAGAGATCAAGCCACCCACCATTAGAAATGGGGCCCTTTGTGTAGGCTATTCACTCTTGATGGTTTGGGCCTCTTAATCTGAAGGGCCTGTTTACTGTTGGAAGAGCTGAGCCACAGAAGGGTAACATGCTTTCTTAGACACAAATAAACACAGGAAATTTCTTTTTGCTGAGGAAAAAAAGAAAGAGGTCTGTGTAGCACTGGACCTGAAGCCAGAAGATCTGAGATTAGTCCTGGTCCCTTTCATTAACTCACTGTGTGATTTCCAACAGCTAACTTCTCTCTGGGCCTCAGTATCCTCATCTTTAAAACAAGGATGTTGGAATCCAGCAGTTCTTAACCTGGGATGTACCTCAGAAACACCTGTATATACTCATGTGTGTGTGTGCATGTGTGTGTACCAAGGTCCCACCTCATATCTACTGAACCCAAAAACCAAGGTGAGGGATGCCAGGATGTGGGTTTTTTAAAATTTTATTTATTTATGCCATAAGAATTCTAATGAACAATCCTAGGTAAAACCACTACAATACCAGTGCCTCAGGGCCTGCCCGGGGTCCTAAGGCATAAAGCCAGGGACTGGACCCCCGCCACAACCAGGCACACCACCAGCGCCAAGGAGTATGCCCAAAACATCACCTCTACGTGGGTGGCCCACCACAGCCACCACAATAACCATGGCTGCCGTGAAAGCAACTAGACACCACAACCACCACACAGATGGTCCACCAGCCACTGGAGTACACTGACACAAGGAGAGTCACCAGCAGAGACCAAAGAAAAGAAG